GGCAGGGACAAAAGCTAATATACCTAGTAGTCACAAAAGTATGGTGTCAAGAATGAACAATTCTGCCAGGCCTTTCTGCAATATTTAGACCACAGCCATGATATTGCAGTCATTTCCCTTTGCAATGCTTTAACATCACAAATTGATATGTTTCCAAGAAAAAATAACTATATTTTGAACATCTGAGGAAAGTTTAAAAGAGATAGGGCTTTTAAGCCTGGAGAGGAAAAATAAAAGGCTCAGAGGAGAAGCATATTTATTCTATAATACATATATTTACAAGGCTGAAGTGGAATTAATAGGGGGAAGTTGCAAGTGGATTGATTTTGTTTCAAAATAAGGAGAACATTCTAAATAATAGAACTTCCAACAAATTTTCCCAAGAGGTAATGAGCTGGCCCCAAACAGCCAAATACATGCCTATGTACTTAGAGAAGGTATCTGGCTCAGTTAGTAGGTTAAATAAGGTGTCCCACTGTCCTCTAAGATCCCTATTAATTCTGTGATTTCATTATCTCCCACTCAACATCAATTTATCTATCAGGAGAATTTGATGGGAAATCCACAAACAGCTTCCTCTGTGCAGAAAGTCACTGATTGTATCTTTCCACTCAGACAAGGGAGGCTTCTCTCCTACAGCCATAAGCTCAATCACCATTCGAAGCCTCCATTACTCAGAAGAGCTCTCCAAAGTGGGCAAAACACATTTCCGAGAATGATAAAATAGAAGGAGAGTCTCTTGACAATGATTTACCTGATTACCCATAATTTGAACTATAACTATATAAAGCTTTCTTTTTTTGGATTCTTTCCTCTATATATGTGGATGATAACTGAGTGAAAGGGCTTAATAAAATCAGTTTTGTTGCTCTTATTATAACTGGACAGAATGCACTCTAGGATCATTGCAACAATTTAAATGTCACTAGCAACATATAAATGTATCTGTTTTCTCATACCTCCATTAGCATCGGGTTTTGTCAATGTAATTAACTTTTTGCTAATTTAATAAGTAGTAGTTGAGCTCACAGTTGTTTCAACTAATATTTTTTTAAATTATTAACAAGGCCGAACATTTTTTTTTCTTTTTTAGAGATGAGGGTCTTGCTCTGTTGCTCAGCCTGGAGTGCAGTGGCACAATCATAGCTCACTGCAGCCTCAAACTCCTGCGCTCAAGGCATTCTCCCGCCTCAGTCTCCCAAGTAACTGGCATTACAGCCACACTCCACCACACCCAGCAAGACCACATACTTAAAATAATTGAAAGACTAAAGAAAAAAAAAAAAAAGCACTGAGCAAGGCCACAGTAACCCCACACTATTCACTTGTCATCCTGCAGTCTGCATCTGTTTGAGTCAAGCTGTTTACTGCCCCAACAGGGACATCTTCTGTCCTCCCAAGCCAAGTGGTTCCACAGGATGGGCAACGCGCAGCTGGTATCACTTTCCTTGGCATTGGGTGCACATTCTACTGTGGTCTTCCTGCTTCCTCACTATCCTGCTATACTTTGTCTCGGAACAGTCTGTCTGTTGGTGGTTAGAGAGGCAGCAGATTTTCTAGATAGATCCTCAGTGGACAGCACTCCCCCAGAGAGTCAGAGTGAGAACACTGCTGCAAAGCAAACTGCTAACAGTGGTCACCTCCACATGATGGGATGTCGGGTAATTTTTCTTTTCTCTTGCCAATCTGTATTTTCTACTTTTTCAACAGTGAACGTGGAGTACTTGCATAAATTTAACGAAATTATCTTGATGGATACAGTGACGGGTGGGTGGAATTTGAATAGAGAGAAGGAAAAAAAAGATTCTATCTCTAAACTATATTCCCTTTGGTATTAATTTTTAAAAAGAAAAGTAATAAGTCCCATAATAGTCTCCATTGTTGCATAAACTGTTGTAAGATCAAGGTAAAGCAAAAAGGACATGCACAGAATTCCGCAAAGACTTCGGGTTGTGTTCCTGTAAAGGCACCTGCTTTTCTAAGTCAGGAGCTGGGAAGAGAAGGAGGGGCATGTCCATAATGGGCCCACTTCAAAGCCAGTGAATATTGGATTTTATGCAAACACTTTTCTATTTGAGTCCTGAAAGGTTTTGAACACCTAGTTCATTGCCCGTTACCAGGAAATACTAATGTGTAATCCAACAAAAGGCAGGTAGGGAATCTGAAGGCACTTTGACCTCATTGCAGGCTGCTTAATAGTCTTTCTATATTTACATTTTCATATGTAATTAAGCTTCAAGGGAAGTTACAACTGGAAAAGAAAATGATCTGAGATGGTGAGTGGTTCCCCTCCCTCAGTTCCGACAAGTCATGATAGCTCCCAAAGCCTGGCCCAAGTGACATCCAAGACAAACACTGCTTCTTCCTGCAGCCGGTCCCCTGAACCTGTATTTGTGCCACACTTAAGGTACAGACCTTCCCCACTTCTTAATTCTTCTTCCTGTGCCTGCAATCAAGCCAGAACGCTGGGTGCAAAGGCAATTCCAAGGAACCTTTGTTCTATGGTAGCAAAAATATCAGTTTTTACTAATGCACCCAGGGGCATAATTATGAGGGCGTACCTCTTTAAAAAGATAGAGCTAAAATTACTTTTCACTGTAATTACTGAGGTAAATCTGACACCTCAATTTAAAGTTCAAAATGTACATTTAAAAATATTCTGAGTGCTTTATATAAAACCATTTCACCTTAGATGTAGCACAAATTATTCTTTAAGAAAATTCTTTAAGCTATTGGAGACATAGATTAATAAAGTCGGGGGGGGGGGGGGCTCGGGCAGTCCAGGTACCTCTTTGAAAAATTGTAAACAGAGGGTTAAAATCTGAAAACCAAAATAACTTTGAGAAAAACTTTAAAAGAAACCTGGTCAATTCCACAGATTTGACCTTTAAAAATCATTGAGTTGAATTTTCAAAAATCTATTGAAGGTGTAAAGCTTTCTGACTTTAATAGGAGCCCGGGGATGTCATGTGAGAACATTCACCAGGTCCCAGGGCTCAAGGTGTAAAATATAAGAGGAAAGGGTGTGCTCTCCTGTCTGGAAGGTCAGGTGGCGAAGTCTTATAAAGAGAGAGAAGTGCCACAGAGACAGGCAGACTAGAAAGCCCAAGCTTGGCCAGAGAAGGGAATGTGTGAGCCAAGCCAGGAGGCCGGGCAGAGCGGGCAGGGCAGGGCAGGACATCAGTGCCCGCAGCTAAGACAGAGGGAGCCAGCCAGGTCCAAGGGCAAAATCCAGAGACTGCTGAACTGCCCTGAGTTCAGGCAACTTCAAGGAAAACCACCCCAGCAGCCAAAGGGATATGTCTGGGCCCACACCTAAATGGACTTTGCTTTCCCAGAAACAGGTCAGCTGAATCGGTCCAGTCCAGCTCTGCAGGGCAGGAGTGAGGGCGAAACAGAGCAGGAGAGCTGGGTGTGCAAGAGGCAGGTGACAGGGTGCGCCCTGGCTCCCTGCGGCGAAGGCACCGGGCAAAATCCGGGGCTGCTTCATCGTTAACCGACTCCAAAGGAAGCTAAGAAGGATTGCATGTGATCTGTACCCTGAAATTTCCTCTCGGCACTAAAAGAATTTGAGCAGATGAGTTCTGTCCCCCTCTGCATGGCACATCGCGTGAGGGGACCACATGGCCACGTCCCGCAGAGGCCCAGAGGAAATCTGCCTCAGTAAGGAGGGAAAGGGGTGGGCTTCCAATCCCAGGGGGTCTTTCTGGACTCAAATCCCCTTCGATGCCCCTTAGGGTAAGAGTTCCCCTGAAGAAGCAGCATTGGGAACCCTATAAGGGAATCTTAGCTTTAGCTGCGTCCTCTCTGGTCAGTCTATTCAGCCCACCTCTGAGATGTGACAGTCCCCTAGACATGGCAAGCTTGACATTTATCATCACATTTTCAAGTTTTTCAAACTCGTTCCTAAGCATGGCTTCTCTTTAAATAAAACTACAAAGAAGTCTTTCATATTACACATTTCCTTTGATTCTGCCCGCCTTAGCAAACCCGGGAGCAACGTGGGCATGGAAACCCCTCACCCCCTAGCGCCATCCTGCTCCTTTCATGTCTCTGAGAGCTGTTTCAGTTTGCTGGGCTGTCACTTGGGAATCAAGCCTTGCACCAGTTACATGACCAGAATTACAATTCTGGAAATTCACTCTCTCTAGACTCAGTATGGCTATACCCCAAGGAAGCCAAAAGCAGCTTATAAGAACACAAGTCAGATCTTATAAACACCCCTCTGCATAAAACATTTCCCAGCTTCTTACTACTCATAGAATGAAATCCAAACTCCTTGTCCTGACCTCCAAAGCCTTGAATGATCTGGTCCTATCCAGCTTTCCAACCTCTGCCTCCACCTCACCTTTCTCTCTCCCTCCCCATCCAAACAAGTCTTGAATGAACATGTCATCCAGGCTTACAACAAAAGATCTCAACATATTTTCTCTTAACTTACTAATTTTTTTTAAAAGTCTGCATTGTTCCAAAAAGATTTAACACAGCTCTTAATCATTGAGTAACCAACATAATCAATAAATGTAAACATGCAGTTATTGTGACAAGCCTAGATTAAAACCTACTCTTCCAGTCTTGTTTTATGATGACTTTTCACATGCATTGCTACCCCTTATGGTTCGTGCATCTATCATTCTCAACTTCTGATGATTACGAGGGGAGGAGATTGTCAGAGTTACAACCTAGAGAGTAGACATGAACATTTCCACAAATGCCACTGAGCAAAATATCTGTCCTTGAAAATCAAAATCACCACTGCAGACAACTTTGGAGAGGTAACAAGAAAAAGAAAATTAACAATAAAGAAAAAAAAAAGGAAAGAAAATCAAGATCACCATGCAGCAGGACATCATCGTGTTATTTGAACTCAGCACAGCTTTTTCCTGCTAAAAGGCATTCAGTCTGTAGGATGGCTTTGTTAGGTTTTGTCTTGAATTGCAGTGTTTGCAGTCGGTGACCAGCGCAACTGGGTCTTCAAACAGGCTCACCGCCCATCTCGCCAACGGCTGCCACGAGGACACTTGCTGTTTCAGCATTCCAGGTGACAGTGTGGAAAACACCAACTCCAGGACCTCATAAATCAAGCTTCTTCACATGACCTCAGCACGGACACGTTGAGGTTTAAATGCATCACGATGGAGTTCAAGCTTTCAAATTTGCCTGGTGACTAGAGTTGCCCAGACCTCTCCCGGGGGTGGGCGGAGGAGAGACCTCCCCATTTGGATCTCAGCTGTCATCACCACCATCTCTGTAATCTTGCTTAGAGCAGCAGACACCTTGCTTGCCAGAAGGCAGCAGTCCGTGCAGGCTTCCCGGGGTGCCCAGACTGGGCAGTTTCCTCCCCAGCCTTGGAAGCATCCTGTGGTCCTTTGAGGCATCAGCCTATTCTCCAGGGCTTCTTTCTTCGCAGTTTCTGGGTTATTTCCTCTGAAGCTGCTGATGTGTTACAAATACTGGTAAAATGAGCTGTTTAAAGTGTCTACTCGACACTTCACCTTTACTTTAAACCTGCCTACCCCACCACCACCCACCCCACCCCACCCCCATGCTGCTGGCAGCCAAATCAAGGAAGCTACTGGTCACCAGTCACACTGGACCTGCTGCTGGCTTTGATCCCCTCCTTCCCACCTCTCTAGGTTTCCACCCCTTTGCCTTAATCTCCCATTCCTGCTCCTGTTGACCCCGAGATTTCACCCCTGAGTTTAATCTCTCCCTCACGACCTTTGGCCTTCTGTGCACACAGTTTATGTTCACCCTCTATCTCTTCCCCCTTTGATCTGTTTGACCAACTTACCCCTCCCTTCCCCTGTGCCGTCTCCAGCCCACCAAACTAGTGGCCCTTGAGAAGAAGCTCAGATGTTAGGACTTTGGTAAAGGAGGTGACTTGCCAGCTCCACCGACCCTGAAAGCTAAATTGCCAGTCCTTCCACCTGCCCTTTTTTCTTTCTTTTTTTTTTTGTTTGGTTCTTTTAAAAACAACTTTATTAAGGTATAATTTATATGCCACAAAATTCACCCTGTTAAAATTTATAATTAAATTATTATTTTTTTTTATTTCAGCATATTATGGGGGTACAAATGTTTAGGTTACGTGTGTTGCCTTCCCTCCCCCCCCCAGTCAGAGCTTCAAGCATGTCCCACCTTCCCGTTTTTCTATCCCACGTGTCTGTCGTTTGTGCCTAAAAGCCGGCTTACCAGAAAAATTATTCATCTTTCCTCTAAAACCAGATCTCTTCTGGATGATTCTCTCTGTTCTTAGTACCGGCATTTTCCTGCTCCCTCACAAAGAGCACACCAGCTTCCTTTTCACGCCTTTTGCAACTTAAAGACTTAGCACAAGCTGCTTCCTTTGCCTGGAATGTTCTTGCTTAACCTTCATTCCTGGCTAACTCCATCTAATCCCTCGAGTTTCACGATTAGCATGCGCAAACCGCTTCCCAATTACAGATATATAAGCCAAGTTTCCATTCTCCTAAAACACTTACCACCATTATAATCTAAACACTGCCTCGCACAATCGTGTACAGGGTGTTGGTAAACCTACATCACCTGGTACAGCAGCGACTCGCTGCATGGGACTTTTGAGCACCTAACATGGGGCTAATCCAAATTGAGATGTGTTGTCAGTGCAAAATATATACAACGTTTTGGAGACTTAATAAAATAAAAGAATGTAAAATATTTCATTGATTATATGTTGACATAATATGTTAGCTATATGGATTTAAATAAACTATATTATTAAAATTAATTGTATCTGCTTTTCACTTTTTAAAAATGTAGCTACTAGAAAATTTTCCATTCCAACATGCGCTCACATTGGATTTCTATTGGATGGTGCTGCCATAGGCCTGGAGGTCTCTGCGGTCATTTTGCTTATGACTATATTTCTCAGCTATATTAATTAGCACAGTGCCCGACACATAGTGCAGCAACTGGATTGGTGAATACATTTTGAAAGAATAAATTTTGCTAGACAACTGGAACTTAAATCTAGAATTCTCTTTTTCAGCAAAAGAGGAACCACAGATAAACAGCCCTACAGAAGGGAGTTGCACTACTCACCTCTCCAGCCCTTCACGCTGTCTCGGGTGTCAGAGCTTCTCCCAGCCTTGTAGACTTAGTTATGAGATAAGGTCTAAACCGTCAGGCTGGGCCAGTTTGTCACTGGCTTTAATTGATCACATATTCATGTAAAAGTGCTTAACAACTGGATTTATCTTTCAAGTTATGGGTAGACTGCCAAAACAGAAAATAAGAAATGAAACCATCTACACAGCAAGAAAGGATTAAGGGATATTCATTTGATCTAAGCCACTTTCACAAATATGATCTCATGGGTAATATCTCATTTACTTATCTCAATCCTTAGTATCAGGAAATTCTTCTGGACTTAACCTGAATTTATTATATAGCAAGACATTTAACACAGATGTGACACAGACCAGAGTATCTTAAAAAGTCTAGTAACGTCCTTAAAGACCATTTTCCTTCCACACCACTTGGCCGGGGCCGGCTCACTCACACTCGTGAGCACAGACATGGCTCAGAAGTGACTCAGCAGCTGCGAGTGTCTACGTGGTGTCACGCCAAGTGCCGTGGCTGGCACTGCTGCTGCATCGCTGGAGGAAGGGCGAAGCCAAGCTGCCCTGTGACCCTAAAGACTCACCCAGCAAGAGAGCGCTGGCCAGTCAGTCACAGACAAGAACACGGGGATCAGAAGCTGTGCAGCCAGAGGCATCAGGTGACAACTGGAAGAGAGCAGCTGGCAGCTGGGTGCCGGAGGGCAGCCCCACACCAAGACCCGTAACACAGACACCCACTTCGTCCGAGGCCCCGAGCGCTCGTCCCTTGGCAGTGTCACTGCCTTCCCTGATGACAAGGGGAATGAAAAACATCACTTTTTTAACGCTTACGCGGGCCAAGAAAGCTCCCTCTTTCTCTTTTTGTGTTTCAAAATCCACACAGCCGCGACACAGCCAGATGGTATGTCCTCAGAAGTGTCACAGGCAGCCTCAAGCGTCCTCAAGAACACAGAAATAGCGCTGGACTAGAAACAAGAAGTTGGGAGTCCTCTCTCTTCTATCAGGTATTAATTTCAGAATCATTGAGATGACATGTGTCAGGCCTGTTGTCCCAGGCGTTGCCTTGGGACCCTGCTTAAATCACAGCAAGTGATCTAAACAGCAACAAGCACATGACACAGGGTACTCAGCATCCCTGTAGCTAAGGCTCCTTCCTCTCCAAGGAAGTCTTGGAACACCACGAGACCCGACAGGACGCCTTAGTCTCCTCGAGACCTTATCAACCCCACACCCATTTCTCCCCACCTACCCAGTAGGGATAGACAAACTGTTACAGTAAAATTAAAGGAAGGAAAAGAAAACATATTCTTCTTTAAAAAAAAAAAAAAAAGATAGGATGATGTAGAAAGGGCACAGGAGGCAATGGCCCTAAGCAGGAACCATTTGAGAAACAAAATATATAATAATAGTATTAGATTATAATCCCTTGAATAAAATTAATATTCACGAGCTCATTCATAAATAAATAAATGAATAAATGAATTGGGGAGAAGAGACAGCTCTGCCTTACACAAGACTCGCCTAACCTTTTTTTTTTTTTTTTTTAAGACAGGTCTCACTTTATTGCCCAGGCTAGAGGTGAGTGCCGTGGCATCAGTCTAGTCACAGCAACCTCAAACTCCTGGCTCAAGCAATCCTCCTGCCTCAGCCTCCCAAGTAGCTGGGACTACAGGCATTCGCCACATGCCGGCTATTTTTTGTATATATATATATTAGTTGGCCAATTATTTCTTTCCTATTTAAGTAGAGAGGGTCTCGCTCTTGCTCAGGCTGTTTCGAACTCCTGACTCGAGCAATCCGCCCGCTCGCTCCCAAGAGAGCTAGGATTACAGGCGTGAGCCACCGCGCCGGCCTTTTTTTTTTTTTTTAAGAAGAATATGTTTTCTTTCCTTCCTTCAATTTTACTGCAACAGTTGTCTATCCCTACTGGGTAGGTGGGGAGAAATGGGTGTGGTGTATAAGGTCTCGAGGAGACTAAGCGTCCTGTCGGGTCTCGTGGTGTTCCAAGACTTCCTTGGAGAGGAAGGACCTAACTCTCTAACAACA